AATCCAGGTTACAATAGATGATAAACAACTTAAAACATTTTTATATAGCTTAAGATTTCATTTTTTATAAGACAGATTTTTTTAAAACCCATTTCAAGGATGTCAGAATATTTTTTTTTTCCACAGAGGAATAGAAATATAAACAAAACAAATGTTTCAGATATTTTTCTATGAGTGACCCATGTGTCACATCACTAGCTCCCAGTATGATTATCATTACAGAATAAAACAGCTTTTATACATTGGTCAGGTGTAAAAACCTCATGGTTGAAGCTGTTGAATACTCTGGACGGCCCATGAGGCTTTGCATGAGCTCACCTGCTGTAATGAAGTAATACTGAGAGTCTCCGAAGATGCCGACTGTCCCGGGACCCAGAGAGTCGGATAGGATGTTGATCATGGAGAACGCACCACTCATGATACCAAAGCCCAGTCCAGCCACTGCACACAAAACACACAGAGCACCTGATGATAAACCTGCCACGGGTGCCTTCTAGTGACCTTCCACAGGCAGCAAGTGTGACAGGAACACCGTTTACCGTAAGCCATCTGCCGGACCGAGATGTCCAAACCGTCCTCATCACTAATGGCTGCCAGACCCTCGTTGGCTTTCCTGATGGAACAACGAAAAATATACACACACATATATATATATAATATACACAATCTACAGTAGTCAACATTTGAAGTGGATTTATCAAAGTTATACATGAATTTTGAACAATACCCGTTTCTTGTCTTCTCTTTGACTACTGTTTGTACACACACATATACTGTATAAACACAAACTTTTCTGTTAGACGTGATTAATCACGACTAATCGATTTGACAGCATTTGTTCAAGTAACGTGTACCTACGTCACCTAAAATAAAATGTTCCCCAGTTTTATTACTGTACTGTGATTAATCAAGTGGGGAAGTGTATGGTGATGATATCTGATAGTTATAATCCTTAGCCTTAAACAGTTCTGGAATCTGAGCTGTTCATATAGAAACTATCTGGAACTATGTCATGTTTGGCACTGAGGATTTCTTATCATTTATGGCACACCATAATGAGTCTTACCTAAGCAGTCTGTAGTAGGCAAAGCGAAACACTTCCTGGAGCAAGACCGAGAAGAAAACCCCAAAAATCAGCAGTGCCCTGTGCAGGGTGGGGTCCTGCGCCCCGTTACTGGCCTTCACGGCGATGAACCACACCAGAGAGGACAGCAGCAGAGACAGCAGCCAGAAGAACGCCCTGAAACACACACACACACACACATACATCATGATCCAGCTCTCCACTGCTGCCTCCTCACAAACATGCAGATCTTCATTCATGTCTTGGAAAACACTTGTTTTAACATATGAATGTTCATAAACTGCTGACTTGTTGAACATTATAATGTTTAAGGAAAAATATATTATCAAAAGAAACTGTGTCCAACTCAGTCCAAAAACTGAGTCTCTTCTCCATGTCACTGAATAATAAAATAACAAGCTTTTGTTAAAAGCATTAAAGTGTTTGACTGTGGATGGTGTGAGTTTGGTGTGATCACGTGACTCACCCTGCGATCAGAATGATGATTCTTAGCGGATCTTTGATGATAGTGAACACAAACAGGGAGAAAGCTGGACCAAACGCTATGAACGCACAGCCAAAAAACACTGCCAGAGTCATTCTGGACGAGCAGCTTCTCCTTCACAGTCAACAGTCGAACACAAACACACCAAACACGAACAATGCCTAAGAGACAGATTCCCTTAATTCTCCATCTATCAGAAATCGTTTAAACTGCGTTACAATACAATACTAATCACAGAATTCCCCTACACTGACACATGTATGGAATCGGTCAATCAAAGACATCAAAAACTAATAAATCCGATAACAGTGGCGCGGTTTAGATCGTTCTTCAGTCAGCGCTTTGTCCGGTAACATTTTTAAACTTAATCTTCAGTTTCTCTTTCCCGAATAAAGAAAAACACACGCGACACTTCCGAGGGCTTTTGTTTCGTTTAAATGATTGGCTTGCACTTCCGGGTTCATGTGCCTGCGCCGCGCGCTCCCGCCGCTGAGTGCCACTGTCTCTAGTAATTCAGGCAAGGCTTTTTTTTTTATTAATTATTATCATGTATATTATTGGTTGATTGAAGATACAAGACACCAAACAAAGCTTAAAAAATTAAATAAAATCACACACAAAGCGCAAAACAATTCCATAAAGTCCAAATAGCAGCAAACAGAATAAGTAGGCTAAAAAAAAAAAAAAAGCCTTAAACATGACAAATAAAAAAAAATTAATTTAAATCATAAAATATAAGGTTACACAAATAAGGTTATTATCAAAAAATACGTTCAAAATAGTACATTATTTAAGGGCTTCTTTTTTTTAAATCGCACGAGTTTTAAAGATTTGAAGAAGATCATTAAATCAATGCGGGATGACTCTTTCTCAGGAGAATCTGCATTTTTGAATGAAATAATTGGCCAACAGCACAATACTGTTAAACAAAAATTCACCATCATAATTCAAAGAAAACGACAAACATTTTATAGTTTTGAAATCAAAGTCATGTATTACATATTTCAAACTAAGCAGGGTATTTGTTTTATAAACACTTTTTGTTGTACTGGTTGAAAGTCTCTTCACATCCTGATAACAATCAATAATAGGGGATATTAAAGCATGTCCATATATTTTCAGTGGAAGTCTCAGGAACATAAATTGTTTGTCCAATCCTTGCATTCGCTCCGAATGCTATATACGAAGAGTTCAGATGCAAAAGCCTCTAAATGCCATTTGAAATTTTCTTCTTTAATGATGATTTTTATCAAGCTTGTATATTTAAGTTCAGTAATTTCACTTCAATGGCAATGATAATTACCTATTAATTGTTATTTAAGTGAAATTACTGAACTTAAATATACAAGTTTGATAAAAAATCATCATTAAAGAAGAAAATTTCAAATGGCATTTAGAGGCTTTTGCATCTGAACTCTTCACTGTCCTGTCTGTCAGTGTGTGTATCTCCATTCCGCCGGGAAAGGCGCAGCACGTCATCAGTAGGTGCGTTGCCATTACAGATTTGCACAAAACGCGATTTTTTTTCTAAATATCAATTAAAAAAAAAAAAGATTGCAAAATGACACAATTTCCATTTGGCCATTTTTGTACAGTGAACTTATTGTCATGTTCAAGAAACCAATTTGAAATCATTTGAGCTTTGTGACATGGTGCATTATCCTGCTGGAATTAGCCATCAGAGGATGGGCACATTTTGGGATGCTCAGGTAGGCCCTGGCATTTAAACAATGCCCAATTGGCACTAAGGGGCTTAAAGTATGCCAAGAAAACACACCACCAGCCTGCACAGTGGTAACAAGGCATGATGATATTCTCATTCTGTTTACGCCAAATTCTGACTCTACCATCTGAATGTCTCAACAGAAATCGAGACTCATCAGACCAGGCAACATTTTTAGAGTCTTCAACTGTCCAATGTTGGTGAGCTCTTGCAAATTGAAGCCTCTTTTTCCTTTTTGTAGTAGAGATGGGTGGGACCCGGTGGGATCTTCTGCTGTTGTAGCCCATCCGCCTCAAGGTTGTGTGTGTTGTGGTTTCTCAAACGCTTTGCTGCATACCTCGATTGTAACGAGTGGTTATTTCAGTCAAAGTTGCTCTTCTATCAGCTTGAATCAGTCGGCCCATTCTCCTCTGACCTCTAGCATCAACAAGGCATTTTCGCCCACAGGACTGCTGCATACTGGATGTTTTTCCCTTTTCACAACTTTCTTTGTAAACCCTAGAAATGGTTGTGCGTGAAAATACTCAGACCGGCCCGTCTGGCACCAACAACCACGCCACACTCAAAATTGCTTAAATCACCTTTCTTTCCCATTCTGACATTCAGTTTGGAGTTCAGGAGATTGTCTTGACCAGGACCGCACCCCTAAATGCATTGAAGCATCTGCCATATGATTGGTTGATTAAATAATTGCATTAATGAGAAATTGAATAGGTGTTCCTAATAATCCTTTAGGTGAGTGTATATTACAGCCACCGCACTAGACATTATTATTATTAATGAAAGGAGACGTTTGTGTGTGTTATCCAAGTTTTAATGGCAGGGAAAGACCCTTATCCTGTAATACAGATGAGTGTTTCTCTGTGTTTCTTCATCATTTCTGCTCCGAAGTCTTGGTTGTGGCATCTCACTGAGGTTTAGAATCCAGTATTCCTGTAATTATTGTTTCTTGTATGAATTTAATAAAGAACTCTTCTGTCCAAACACACCGTGCCTTCTACATCAGGTGACTGTAAATGCGCAAAAACTGTTTCCATTGCAGTTTTGCGAAATATTCCTTTTTCAAATTGCCCGAAAAACCACCTCACCTTATATTAAACTGTCATGTGGTTGGTTTTCAAATTGGTTGTCATGAGGCACTATAACTGTGTCATGAATATTTTGATCTCATAACTACAGTGGTACAGATTGAATTTGTCATTGAAATGATATAATGGCCTCATGACAGCCAATGTCCAAACCAACCACCTGACAGTTTAATGTAATGTTAACCCATAAAGCTAAGTGGTTTCTTAAGTTTGATAATTAATCTGCTCATAACTGACAGGTTATGACGTATTGGTTTATATCAAGGTGTTATAACAAAGACATCTCAAACAATGTCATATTTGCATTAAAGATGTCATAATTGAGCGAATGACACTTAATGACAGCTGTTATAAACATGCATGAAACATCCTTCATATTCATGATGACATATGTCATTTCAGTCTTATCCACACCCCTTCAAGTAAAGTGTTACCCAAACGTCTAAAATCCACATATAAGTTTGGTGCTGAGCGATTACTGAGTGCTTAGATGAAGAAAGAGTTTGGGGTGGGAATATTAATTCACAAAACACTGTATGTAATGGGGGAGGAACAATGATGCTGTAGGACGGCGACGTTAAGAAGGTGTTGAGCATTAATGAGGGTGAGATGCATGTGTGGATGTGAACACCGGCTCGGATACCGCATCTGATCAAACCCTCGTCTCTCTGTGGGAAGAATAAGGGAAAACATGATCAGCAGTCACCATTTAGTTACAGTAGTTTATTAATGGCAAGGAGTATGAAAAATTGTACCAAAGAACTGGCTGGTGTAAAAGTGAAAAAGTGAATTAAGAAAACTTTTTTTATGAGTTTATGGCATTAAATTATAAACTTGCAGTGTGTCAGTCACACAAAATGTCATTAATATTCCAGTAAAGGGAGGAAAGACAAGATTGTACCTTGGTGGAAAGAGGACTGTAATATGCGAATAAAGAGAAAAGATTAAGTTCTGAAGAGTTTGATCAAATATCATTTTTGAAATATTTGATATAGTTTGGATTGTATCTCCCATGATGAGCTGCCCTATTACTTTCTACAGTCGGAATGTCCAGCACTATGGGCGGAGATGTTGGTTTTTGGTCAAACTGTCAAGACTAGCACAGAACATTTGAACCAAGTCATGTGACCCACATACAGCAAACTTTTTAATCAATTATGATAATGATCACAGAATTAAAACAAGAATTTTTCTCATGCCTCCAACAAGAGATAAAGTGTGTATCCTGCTCCCTGTTTAAGGGTTAATGGAGGAATGCATCATTGGATTAAATCTCATGAATAGAACAAGTAAATATTATCTATACAACAACAGTTGTATAAAATGACATGATCAGTAGGTCATGACAATGTATGTTTTTACACTACTATAACTTATCAAAATAATTAAGCAACTTTTTTTCTTTAAAAAAAGTTATACGAGATTAAAACTCGATTTTTAACGTCACTTTAATATTTATGCTGAAATTACTTATATAACCCACCAAGATGATTACTTAGGGCAGCAACTGAAGGTAAAGTAGGTGATTTGTGCTTGTGTGTGTGTGTGTGTGTGTGTCTGTCTTTATCTCAACGTTGGGCTTTTCTGAAAACTTGTTCAGGCATTTGTAACATACCCATATCAAGTCTGGAGTTCAGGAAGATTCTCTGGAGTCCTGTTATCAATAATGCAACAGTAGAGCAAAGGGTGTTAACACTGCCAAGGTTAACATGGATTGCAACATATAGGCTACACCTTAAAGGGACACTTCACCCATTTGCATTAAGCTTTGTATCTTTAGAAACCCAGTCATATTTTTGAATGGTCATGGTTTATTCCCTTATTTTTCCCCTGAGATGGGAGAAATAAGGATTTAAGTGTTTTACTTCCTGCTTATTATGACATAAATATCGTCATTTTGCGTGATAATAAGCGGGAAGTCGCATTTCATTGAAAAGTGTAGAGATTACAAACTTACCTCCTCATTATTCAAGGGTGCGGGACCCACTCACCCTACAGGCCTATTACAGATCAGTGGGTGGGACTTCACTTGAAGATACTGAATCAATATCCGCCATCTTGTTTTTGGAAGCTAAGCTAACAAGCGCTGTGGAGATAGGAAGTATGACAATGACAGAAGAAAATAAACATGATATGGAAGAAGAGGATTTTGAAAGTCTGCTGCTTGAATCCGATGTTCTTGGCTATCTTTACGAGTCGCAGTGTAGTGAAGAGCAGCTGCGGCTGATGGAGGAACCGGAGGCGGCTGCCTGTCGCGGTCGAGGAGCCCTGACTGACTCGAGCTGGACGGACTGCTGTGCATGTGCTCTCGCTGTGAACTATAAACACAGATAGAGTCCGTCTGCTGCAGAGAATTTCAACGATGGCAATTTCTCCTGGACGAAATCTCTGAATCAGACGAGCACACGGACGTTTGTGTTGGGTTGTGATCCATCCTAGTTTTGCCTGACTGAACATCCAGGTATCATGCAGTAATACACCATATTTAGAAAGAAATACAAACTAGAAGTAATTCACTAATGAGTTTGCCAATGTAACGTTAACAGGGTTTGTTGTGGGAAGGAGGCGGCGGGAACCGGTGAACATTTAAACATTTTAATTGTAAAATGAACAAATACAAAACGAAAGTATAACACCGTGTCCTAACTACACGCAACGCGATGCCGCGACACGCGATAAATGGTATCTTTTCCATGTTAATCAGAGTTTTTGTCCTAACCAGATGCGATGGCGACACGTGAAGTTTCTAATTTAGAAACGGTTCCTATTTCTTCGACGTCGCGGCTGACAGAATGAAGAAATGACACTGGTTATTTATATAAATTATTTATTTTTAGTTAAAAATAGGTCACTGTGCCACAAGCGATAACAGATAATTTACCTCAGATTTTGAAAGCGTATAATATAGCGTTCAAAATGAATTCTATGCAAACAGACAACTGTACTTCATAACAAAATTAGTCAATGAGTAGGGTATTTTGTTACAGTAGTATTTTGAGTAATGAGTACTTTGTTATTGTTTAGATTTTAATAATGTTATTTCTTGATTTGATTGTCCTCACCCATTTCCAATGCGAGTGCACGCTGTTCTGAATGTGTGGCGTCTCACAGTCGCGTCGCGTCTAGTGTGGACAGACACACTTGCAGTCGCTGGAATTTTATCGCGTCGCGTGTAGTTAGGACACCGTGTAAGCCAGCAGCCCCTCATTGACGACTAATGTCCACACACAACATAAAATCAGGCGTGTTTCTCTCTCGAACTGCCGATGTGCATGCAATTCCGGATTAGTGGGTGTGGCTTCCAGAGCTGTGCAAAGTGGTGCATTGTGGGGGTTGTAGTTTTTCATACAAATGCACCCTTCGGTCTTTTCTCGGTCAAGACGGCATCAAATTCAAAAATTATTTTACATTTCGACTACATATATGATCCACTTTCAATAAAGATTAATGTTGAAATGGGTGAAATGCTCCTTTAAATACAATGCAGGCTGCCTTGGACAAACGTGTCACATGTAATAGTTATCAAAAACCTGGATTACTCATCATGGCCACAGCTAGAGAAAATGTGCCCAGCATTCAGAAAGCATTTAGACCTCTTTATCTTTCACATTTTTTGTTGCAGCCTTATGTTAAAATGCCTTTTTTTTTTTTCCTTCACATCAACATAAAGGTGAAACTCGAAAAATGAGAATATCATGCACAAGTTCATTTATTTCAGTAATTTAACTTATTATATAGACTCATTAAATGCAAAGCGAGCTATTACAAGCCTTTATTTGTTATAATTGTGATGATTATGGCTTACAGCTTATGAAAACCTTTTCACAATATTCTAATTTTGAATTTGGGGTTTTCATAAGCTGTAACCCATAATCATCACAATTATAACAAAGTCTCGAGATATCTCACTTTGATTGAATCTTTATATTAGTTTTACTCTTAAAGTTAAATTACTGAAATAAATGAACTTTTGCACGATATTCTAATTTTTCCAGTTTCACCTGTACACACCATACCCCATAATGTCAAAGCAGAAACCAGATTTGAGCTAACTTTGCAAATTTATTCAGAATAAAAACTGAAATGGAGGTCTGAGTTCCAGCAACTGCGTTAGTGTTGAGGGTTTTAAGGGGTTCTCTTACATTATATGACAGCAAAGGCACAACAGTGTGTTTATATGCTCTGACTGGTGTTGAGGAGATTCCCTGATATGATTGTAAAGTGCTTTGGGTGTACAGTAGTACATAAAGTGCTATATAAATGCCTCATTCATTCATTAAGTGTGAATCTGTTTCCTCACTAAAGCTGTGCATAAACACTTACTATGGCAAGAAACAATCGCTAATTCGTTAATCGCTCCATAAACTGTGTTTTAATTCCGTCTTTTCATCCGTCACCACTGTGTCAGACTTATTAACTTTACAATAAAAACATTGGCATGCAAAAAATCGTCGAAAGGCAAAGTTCTATGTTCATTACTTTAATCATTTTAATCAAACAGCTCAAACAATTGCATAGGATACATCAATGGGTGCGGCTTCTTAAAACTGAAGGAATTATTTAAAAAGGCGTGTAAGAATAATCGGTTACATTTTCATTGAATGACCCAGAAGTTTATTCTTAAACTATATCCCTTTTACATACCAAATATTTCCATCGATTGTAGTATTTACTATATAGTGATTTTGAGTTTTAAACAATGAGACTCTTTTAAACTATGTAAAAAATAATGTCCCACAATTAATCAAATCCATTGCATTCCATCACATAAAGTGACCCATCATTAGTATTATATGACCATCACCACGATTAGTGTGTGTTATTCAATGTGCTGTTACAGGACTCTTCGCAGATTTGGTCAGATCAGTCAAATCCACAAAAGACAGTCTGCAAACATTTGCAGTAGTTATTATAGTCAAAAACATAAGCCATGTCATACAGGCCCAATTTGATATCATTATGATTAATGCTTTATTGTCACCTAATGCTTTTAAATTAATTTAGGCCTGTACAAGCAAGGGTACATCAGCACAATTGAATTTTTGGACCCTCCCCCTCATGAGATCCATACAAATCACATCAAAAAAACATTTTCTGCGGCGTTCGAAACAGCAAATTTCACAAAAAGGCCACAAGTTTGCAGCACTGCATGAGCATTCCTTCATTTTACAGGTGATTTGAGACACATTCGTTACGCATTTTTGGTACAAATCGATGAAAAAGCTTAAAAAGTCGTAACCTCAAAAGTGCAAAAACGATTTTTTAAATAGTTGGTATGGTCCAAAGTCCAAAGTGGTGAATTACAGCATTTATCAGTTGAGGTCAAAAAAGTTGACTTTGGAGGAAACAACATTTGTAGTAAACATGATGCTTAGAATAAATCAAACCAAATTAGACAGTCGCAATGAATCTATTACAAATATTAAAAATCCAAGTAAATGATCTGTTTAAAGTAGGCTACTGCTGGCTTTGCTACTGGTACGAGACATTGTTTGTAAAGCAAAAAGCAAGTGTGTGACTATAAGACATTGACAGATCTGCGCCAGGCCCGTCGCTTCATCAGGACTTCACCTTTACAGATTGTTGAGCTCTAGAAGAGTCTGGTCAAGCACTTGGTGCATGTTCAGGTTCTCCTCTTTGGCCTGGGATAGTTTCTCTGGTGATGTGAGAACAAAAACACACTCGGTGAGACAGCCTTGATAATGGAAATGTAGTATCACATAGAATCAGCAGGCAATCAAATCTTGACAATTATGATAACAATGAGAGGAACGGTTGATCATTCTCTGAGAAAACACACTGTAAAGAATTGCACCAAAACCTGTAATATATAACAGTTAGTGGAGTTCCTATTTACATGAATCCTCTAAACTACGCTTTCACCTTTGCATGAGAAACAGAATTCACCCTGGCCTTAATGATGGCAGAAGTGAGCATAAAAATAACATTAGTTTGGAGGCTGCAAACAAAAAACATGGATGTTAAGCTGATATTAGAGACAGGCGTAATAACATCTGCCGGTTTAGGCAACTGAACTGATTTACGCACTTAAACGAGTCAAGAAATCCTAAAGTGCATTTGAGATGTTAACAGAAGGATTAACAGAACAGATAGTTAATTAATATTACTTCGTACTTAAAGGTGGGGTAGGTAGAAATTTTCTAAAACAATTTGTTTAAACTGTCTATCTATACCAATACATAATTAAAATGTAAGTACTCTGAAAAAGAAAGTATACAAATCGAGTGTCTGTAGTCCTCTCAGTGCTGCAATAAACACAGCTCATTATTTCATTCACTCCCACCCCCTCCCGTCTGGGATCCTTACAAAGCCACGCCCCCAAAACACATCAACGCGCGCTGCCGACCGCGCTCAGCTGGAGGACGCGTTTACCAGCGCCGCGGAGAGGAGCATCATGTCAGAATCACATGTAATAAACTTTATCATTATTAATATAAAAAACTAACATGGCTGGTAGTACTCACTATCAAGCTAGTATATCGATACTGGTAATGGTAAAGTTTGAAATATATTGAGTTTGATTCGCTAACGAGCTAGTAACATAAAAACTAAAAACAGCAAAACAGGTTGCATTGATACACATTTTCCCGTGACCATAAGTTACACTGTGATGAAGGTGAATTTTGTGTAAGATTCATCACATATACGGTGTTTTACATGTAAGCGCCTCCACGAAAGCACTGTTTGCGTCACTTTTCAGCCCCTGGTTGTCAGTTGTCGCCACGGCTGGAAAGCCCCGCCGATATTGACTATCGTCTGACTTCTTGCTTTATCCAAAGACTTTTTAGTCATAGACTTTTCAAATACTGTCTTCCTTTTTGCCTGGTTTTCCTTCGCTGACTGTATATGCAGGTAACTGACTTTTGACTGCTCTTTCTCTGCCATAATTGTGATTCTTCCTAGCTTCCGTGCCTCTTCTACTCCTCAAGCAAACGTGTGCGCATGTGGGCTCCTCTAACGCAGCAGTGCTGGTATGGTAGCGAAGGAGAGTGACAGTCGCCCAGCCAATTATTTCTTTCGTCCTAGTTGGAAATAATGAGCTGTGTTTATTGCAGCACTGAGAGGACTACACACACTCGATTTGTATACTTTCTTTTTCAGAGTACTTACATTTTAATTATGTATTGGTATAGATGGACAGTTTAAACAAATTTGGGAAAAAGTTTTAAAAAAAATTTCTACCTACCCCACCTTGGTAGGTGTTAAACTGTAACAAGGACACCTTGGTTTCTCAGTTAGTTCTTACTAACTGACTTATTTTCTGGAACAGCTCAAGCAGAGAAGAGAAAAATGACATCAGGCATTTTATTATTTTAATCTTCTAGGTCACAGAGAGTAGCGTTAGACTTGAGACGCTTCTCTGTTGGAACACAACTATGCATTATGTTCTGAAATGAGTCCGACTGTAATTTATAACACAACATAGGAACATTTTGAATTCTTTGCATAGCTGAAATGAACATGAACGGTCTTCTTTACCGGTCAGTTTATTTGTTATGGCAGAACGGTTTGCAGAGGATCCTGCAGATCAAGCCTGAGTTTTACAGACATCTTCATCTCCAGAGTTTTACAGACCTGAGAATGATGTTGAGGAGGAAGAACCTGCTTTTGTTTCTGACTGTAGTGTTCAGTGTGATTAATATGAAAAACCGTTCAGAAGAACATGTGTCATTAAGCTTTGATGTACACTTTTTAACTTCTTAAAGGGTTAGTTCACCCCAAAATGAAAATTCTGTCAGTATTTACTCACCCTCATGTTGTTCCAACCGTTGTTCCTTCGTTCATCTTCGGAACACAAAATAAGATATTTTTTATTAAATCTGAGAGCTGGATCACTCCTGCATACTAATCCATAGGCTTCTTGAGGAATTGAAACTTGCCGGCCTCGAAAAGTTATTAAAGACATCGTTAAATTAGTCCAAGTGACTACAGTGGCTCAATCTTAAGGAAGTGAATAGTTGAAATAAAGTCGTTATTTTTGTTGTTTTTGCGCACAAAAAGTGTTCTCGTCGTAAGATTGACTTGAGCCCCTGTAGTCACTTGGACTATTTTAACGATGTCTTTAATAACTTTTCGAGGCCGGCAAGTTTCAATTCCTCAAGAAGCCTATGGATTAGTATGCAGGAGTGATCCAGCTCTCAGATTTAATAAGAAATATCTTAATTTGTGTTCCGAAGATGAACGAAGGTCTTACGGGGTTGGAACAACATGAGGGTGAGTAAATACTGACAGAATTTTCATTTTTGGGTGAACTAACCCTGTAAAGCCCTTCGATAGGTTTGCATCCAATCCCTGCGCTGCCCGATATAAGAGCACACACTAACAACACAGATGAGGACTCAAACACACTCGCCCCATAGTTTCTGCACACACACTGCGCTCAGCTCCAACACACACTTGTCAAGCGGATCACGGTTCATATCCAACCATACAAGCCTGTTCTGGCCATAGTTCAGCTGTTGAACTGTTCTCCACATAAACATGTAAGTGTCAAACTAAATAGATTTCTTCCAATAATGTGGTTGATGTTTAAAATGGCTTGTTAAAAAAAAAATTAACAAATGGACAGAGAAGAAGACTAAGCTCATGACTGTTTTCAAAGTGTTAACCTTTTGTGTGTCAAGTAAAAACACAGCGAAAGATACAGGCTTTAGAAGATTTTTAAAGGGTTAGTTCACCCAAAAATTAAAATGATGTTATTAATTTCTCTCGCTCATGTTGTTCCAAACAAAAAAGACTTTCGTTCATCTTTGAAACACAAATTAAGATCTTTTTGATGAAATCTGAGAGGTTTCTTTCCCTCCATTGACAGCTATGCAACTTCCACTTCGACACTTCAAAAAGTTAATAGAGATCGTAAAACAAATCCACATGAATCGAGCGGTTTATTCCAAATTTTCTAACACAATCACTTTACTTTTAAAAAATTTGTGTGATGTCTTACAGATTTGGAAAGACATGAAGGCGAGTAATTAATGATATAATTTATATTGTTGGGTGAACTGTCCCTTTAAGGGATTCATTCTATGAGTTTTCTTAATTACAGACAAGGTCCTGATATTTTAAAATGCATTTTTACTGCTGTTATTATTATACAAATACAGTTTATCAAAGACCTATTTGATTCGTTTACATTAGTTGTGTTAGTGATGTCTCTCGTAGCATTAGGACGACACTTAGGAGTTTGCCGTCTAGTAATGGCCATATTTTTTAAGTCTGCATGAACCCAAAAAATTGCGGCAGAGATTTCTTACAATAGGGACTTATGGTCCTAAAGACATTTAGGGATATATATTATTGTCAGTGTTCTGAGTGCTGTCCACAGTCTATGTTCTTCAGCACTTATTCACAAATCAGTAACACTATACATTCTACTAACTGCAAGTCAATGTGTAACTACATCCCAACTAATATTAGTAGACTGGGCGCTGCCCGAAAGTTATGCTTTTGTTTTGTTTTGTTTTGTTTGTTTTGTTTTCTTACATCATGGGAATGCTATGATACTTGGTTAAGGTTTTGGAACTTGCTAAATAATAATAATAATTTTAAATAAAATCATGGACATGGCTCAAAGAGGTTGAACGTTCCTGAAAAAAATAGTCACACTAGTATTGATCGCTGTCGGAATTACGCACCGTTTCAAAATATTGGTATTAAATCCATTTTCTGAGAATTTATCAGTCAACTTGTTGATTAAAACCATTGATTAAAATGAAATACAATTTATAAAAACGAAATTCTTTTAAAAAACATAAGTCAAAATTACTGTGGGCTATGTCTGACCCATTCCAAATGTTTTCCGATATGGTGACTATAGACCAACGCCACTTTTGCGTCATCGAAGGGTAACGCCCCCTTTTGGGGGAAAACACCTCTATACTGTCTATGGGAAAACAAACGGATTCCCATGAGAACAGAACTCGGACTAGATCTGCAAAGTTTCTTGATAGCAAAAATGGCACAAACTTAAAGAAGCTAACGTTACTGAATACGGGGTTACAGAGGTGTCCCTTTGAAATGGTCGAAAACTGGATTAATGACCCCACACAGCGGCCAAATATGGACTATTCAGACATCTAACGATACCACTATCTCGTGGAATCACCAAGTAAGTAGCCTTTTTTATTTATTTATTTATTTATTTATCATTTACACACTCACAGTAGCCTATGACAAACTACTAGACGATGAGGCCATGTCACTTGGATCATAACTTGATTTATTGACAGTTTTGTTGTCGACTAGCTATTACAAAGACTAAGCTATTAGCAGCTAACGTTACCTTATTAGACTATGTTAATAGCTTAAATCAAGTTAAATATGATCCATTCATCGTCTAGTTTGTCATACTGTGAGTGTTAATGAAAAAAAAGGCTACGTGCTTACTTGGCGATTCCAGGTATGTCTGAATAGTCCATATTTGGCCGCTGTGTGGGGTCATTAATCCAGTTTTCGACCATTTCAAAGGGACACCTCTGTAACCCCGTATTCAGTAACGTTAGCTTCTTTAAGTTTGTGCCATTTTTGCTATCAAGAAACTTTGCAGATCTAGTCCGAGTTCTGTTCTCATGGGAATCCGTTTGTTTTCCCATAGACAGTATAGAGGTGTTTTCCCCCAAAAGGCGGCGTTACCCTTCGATGACGCAAAAGTGGCGTTGGTCTTGAGTCACCATATATCGGAAAATAAAACGTTTTAAACATGAATAAAACATATCCTGTTAAGCAGAGCATTAATTTAGTTCGTTTAAATAAGATATCTAGCGCTAAAATGTTTTGTTTTTGAAATCAAGAGGAACGCTTGTTGCCGCTGCTGTCAGTTGTAGGCTATGTTCTCTGTGGCGCGCAGTCTTCACTCGGACGCGCACTTCAATCGCCGTTACGTCGGAGACTCTATTCATTCCGGTAAAATCACAAAATAAATGTGTCCTATGCTTGATTTTGACTGTAACCACAGATGGACATATTGTGTTTTGATGAGAGAGAAAAAAAACTGTACCTAGGGCGGATTAGAACCCGTAACCTCTGGCACTCTGGGCAAAAGAGCTACCACTTGACCATTGAAATGGTCAAATGAAATCTGGCGGATCGATGTATTTATTTCTGGGTTGAGTAGAAAGGCTGCACAGTTTGACAAGTTTGTACCCAGCACTTTCGAATGTGTCTCTGTGCCCAGCAAATTTCAAACTGACGCCCGTGCTTAGGTGAATTTAGGGCGCGGCCGGGGGAGGGGTTCCAACGTCTATGACCACTACCTGAATTATTTACCCTCAAACATAAAACAGATGCAAAGAAATGAATCTCAAGAAACAGAAGGAAACTGAAAGAAGACATTGAGGACATTTATTACAGCAGCAGGATAACGTAAAGCAGCACATACGACACAGACGCTGCGGTGGAAGAGTCAACACTGTGATGACACTAAACATCAGGCTTATCGACGAGTCCTGAGAGGGAACAACACACAATGTTGACCTTTCCATTACAGATCATGACAACATCAGGAGAGAAAGACTTGAGCTGCAGCCTGAGCTCCATCGAATCAGACCCGCCTCCGTTTCTAAGTCACATGGAGAAGAAAACAAAACACAACTAGCCAAATGGACAATGAAGCCACAGAGGGGAAAACTGTAGAGGAGGAGGATGAGGAGGAGATGAAGAGCGTGTTTAGAGGGTAGTCATGTCGTTCAGAGCCAGATCCAGCTCCTCGCTGAGCGCTTTACCCTTGAGTTTCTGAGCGTACACCTCATCTGTGCATCATCCCAGAGGAACGACCGCAGAAAACACACACACACAATGAGCAGAAAAGACAAAACAATGTCGTCAGATGGAGAACCACAGAGGCCAGTTTCAACTACAACAGTGTGAGATCTTGGTTAGAAAACCTTGGCACAGCAATCCTCACTCAGAGTCATCTTGATCAGTCACTCTGACATGAAACTCCATCCGCAAAACCCACGATGCATATGCTCTCGCGTGTCGTCTACTCATTCACTGAACATCTAAGGTGTCAGTCACCTCACCAAAAAACAGATGACATGCAGTTTCAGCACATCAAAACGACACCAGATCCACCGGCCGAAACCAACACACACAACGCCTTCACCGCTTCAAGCAATGTTAGTATTCAAGCAGCTCATGCCAAACAGTTTTTCCATTTTCCTATTACTAATTATGGTTGACAAAACACGGAGGGGAAGTTATAACTGGAATGGTTATGAGTGCGAGTCATCAAAACTGCTAATACACACAACGTCCAAGCATTGCTGTTATTCTGTCATTAGTCACTGTTTACAGGCAATAACTGTTGAAGATGTACCTTCTAAATCATCAATGGTCTTCTCAAGCTTCGCCACAGACCTCTCAGCAAACTCGGCACGCGTTTCAGCCTAGAGAAAGACAAATCAACATTCTCATGAACTCTGGACACGGTTTTTCTTTTCCATATAGCCGATGTGGACAAAATGATCACAATATTGCATGAACAACAGTGCTATGGGGGTTATGCGAAACAAACTTTTCTGTTTTCTGCAAGTATCCTGTTAAACAGGTCACATGACTGCCAGTTCAGGTGTTTTGTTAATTATAGAGCTGCTTTACTCCAGATGCCTTCAAAGGAGCTGCTAGGAACTGGTTTTCCCATCCAAAGTGAGTCGAAGGGAACAAAATCATCACTTCATGATAAACTGGCTCTAAATATCACTAAGAAAAGGAGGAGAAGCCACTGAATAAAATAATGTTCATATATAATAAATGACTTGCATCTCAGAGTGCTCAATGAAACGCAATAAACACGTTTTGGAGATAACATATAACGGTGTCGAATTCAGAGTGGCTTGCGTTGTGTTTATCGCTGGATAGAAACACTCTAGCCCAGAGCAAGTTCACCAGCAATACACAGTTGAGTTTGTTTGTGTTTTGAACCTGATTGGTTCAAACACTGGGGAGACTGCAACCTGATTGGTCAGAAACCTAATCCCAACCATAGTAGGGAGAAAGCAGGGAAGATTATGACTTAATAATGAGCTGTCCATGTCTGGATTTCAGAGCAGCTGACGTCCAAAAACTGCTAAAACCATGTGCGTAAACCGTACTTTTATTTGGATTATGGACACAAAGTGACGATCCAGTGTAATTTCAATATAGTGAAAGGAATACACACCTCTTTGAGTTTGTCAGTGAGTACTCTGATTTCCTCTTCATATTTGTCTTCCTTTGTGGAGTACTGGGGAATAATTAAAAAAAAAAAAAATCAATCAATGCCATAGTCATTCAATATTTAAAAAATTCTGTATTGGCTACATATATTTTTGCATCTGAAATCAGAAGAAGGATAATGCATAGCGTAGGCAAGGGATGGCAGTGAAGTCTATGGAGACTGAGAGTGTGAGAAAGATATTTGACTTTCAGACAGAAGCGATTAAAAAGAGTTCACTTCATTGGCTTATCTTACTCTTTAACAAGGGGAATCTCATTTTAAGTTTGGTTCAAAATTCAGACAAAATACTTATGTGATACAATTCTATGTTGTGCAAAAAACAACACTACAACCACATACACAGAGAGGCATTTGGCTCTTTAACGCCGACAAATGCTGCGATTGCTCGGCCTACCTTCTCAGCCTGGGCCTCCAGGGACTTCAAATTGTTGGTGACATTTTTCAATTCTTCCTCAAGGTCACCAGATTTGCTATACAGCAGCAAGAGATGCAGGAAAAGAAGGGGAAAAGGAGAGGAGAGAGACAGCACTTTGAGAAGACAGGAAAGGCAGACATTTTTGCTAAAGAGACCCCAACCTCGGTGGAACAATCAATGGACCATTCACACTCCTGACCGTTGTTCACAAACCACTGTTTATAGGAGAAGAAGTCCATGTAATGTAGAATATAATGAGTTTTGAGAGGTCAAAACAAGCTACTTTAATATGTTTATTCAAAAGCAATCCTTTTCCAAGCTATTTGTTACATAACAGCAGAAATTAAAGTGTGGCATTCCCCAAGGTTCTAGTTGAGGCCCCTTTACTTTTTTGCAAAAGATGCGTTTCATTGGCACAGGGATAAAGCCGAGAAGAGCAGCAGAGGAGGTCACAGATCTCAGAAAGAGAGGACAAGTATAAAGCGCGCTACATCGGTCTCTCAGCAGTACCTCTTCCTCTCCGGCCATCATGGATTTAAAATTCTGGTCCATGACTTTAAGTTCCTCCTCCAGCTGCCTGACTCGACTGGGTTAGTCCACAACAGGCCAGTGGGGGGGGGGTAATAATGGGGCAGACACATGATGAGGAACAACGGAGCATGCATTTGGAAAACGGGGAGAAAGGACAATCAGAAACCTTGCTGTTGTTCAATGACCCTGAGAGCTCTTCTGTTACTTCCTGGAGAATTTTACCTTCCAGTTCTGACAAAGATCACCTCTGTCAACTCAACTCAAAATGAAAACTGATAATATAATTTTGCTGGATGCATCTTTGTCTTTTGTTTCAGGGACCACAGACATGCATATTAAACTCAGTTTTTCATGCAAATACATTTATAATGCACTTTTGTTACCATCATAATGTGGGCACATACACACACATTCCACACATTTTTGAATAAACCAATACATTTTTGTTCACACTGTATTCTTGCAAGGAATTTAAAGATCAGTTATAGTGCAGATTAAGCCTGTTCGTGTTAGTGCTGGTAAGAAACTAATTGTATCAGAAATATCAATGACTACAGACACCACTGTGTTAACTAACAAGGTTACTGATGTTTTTATTTAATGATGTTTTATAATAATTCAAGTCTAATCTCAACGAAAGAGTTGTGTGTACTCACGCCTCAGCCACTTCAGCTCGTTCCTCAGAGCGCTCGAGCTCACCCTCAAGAATCACCAGTTTACGCGCCACCTGCACTCCAACAAACACCATATTACAGTCAAATAGCACATTTCAAAGATCTGTAAAGTCAAGTTAAGAAGGAAGTCAATCCCCAATAAACAATCATTCAAGTTTAGGTATAATGACCCATCTTCTGCACTAAAACAACAACAATTAAAGACTATATGAACTCAGACACAGAAGCATACATGGCCATCAGCAGCCATTCAAATTCCAGCAGCAAATACATTCACTTGTGAAGAGCAGTCATTCAACACTGTGCCATGCACACCTCCTCATATTTGCGGTCCGCCTCCTCAGCGATGTGTTTGGCCTCCTTCAGCTGCATCTCCTGGATCTCCATCTTCTCCTCATCTTTCGTTGCTCTGTTCTCTATCACCTTCATTCCTCTGTCAGAGAAAAGCACAGGGTCAGGCAATGCATGAACAGACTAAGGCCCCGTCCACACTACTGCGTTTTCGTTTAAAAACGGAGAATTAAAACGAATACAATCTCAGTCCACACCAGCGTTTTATCTGCGTATTAGAAATGATCTCCGTCCACATTAAAACGACTGAAAACGCGGATCACATGACCATTCACCAACACTGGGCATGCGCGTGCCGGTGTAAACAGTAGCCATGTTTCCATCCACTTGTCAATCGAATTATCTGAAATTCGGTTAAAAAACTCATGCGGATAAAGCTGGTGAAAGTGTGTTTCCATCCAACGGCTTTAAAGCGAATAAAAACCTGTACGTAATGACGTCACATGCTGTTTTGCGATCAAATTGGTTTATCGAATTGATTTGAGACATTTCAAGGTGTTTCCATTTTTTTTTGCACTGAATCGAACAACATTCAAGCAAACTTTTGCGAACAAAGTTTTGTTAGACAAAACGGATCGCGCCATCTACCAAAAAATGATCAATATTTCACAAGTTGAAGGCTAATAATGCTTATGTGCCAGCTGATAGCGACATATGAATGGGATAATGTATGCGAGGCGGTTGTTGTATTCGCTATATCAACCGCCTCGCTATATATTATCCTGCTTATTACATATAAATCAACCAAATAAATAAATAATTAATTTGACACAAAATATTGACCTAAAAATGAGTTTATTGATTTGAAAACGAGTATTGCTTCTGCTAAAGAAAATAGTCTGTTCCGTCTCTGAACTGCGTCCATGGCAACGGTGTGTTATACTAGCAGCGCCGCAGTCTGTTAACTAGAAATAACAGACCACATTCTACATTACAATTCAACCAAGCCACGTAAAAACAAGCAAAACTAACCTAAGAAAACAACGACGCTTTAAACATTGCTATGATGATGACGATGCACGTATGCCCGACGACAGCGGAGGTGACTGTGGTGTGGGAACGACAGCGCTCCATCAGTTCTGGGAGATCGTGGTTCACGGAAACCCTTTGGTTGAAGCGTCTTTTTGCTTTGTCCACTTACATCTGTCTTTGTTGACATCCGCCATGTGTGCGCAAACAGACTGGCCGGAAATGAACTCGTCTTCTGACGTGTTGCAACCATAAAAGGGCATAAAACGTAATCGCAATTCATTATTTATTCGGCAAATAACGTTTCCATCAGCTTTTGTCGCATTAGCCGCATATCGATCAAGAGAAAATTCGATGAGACCGAACGTATTTCATTTGAGTCGATTTTCATGAAATTTCATTGAATTTTACTGTTTCCATAAGGCTTTTTTCATTCGATATCACTTAATTCGGATAAAAACGTGTCGATGGTAACATGGCTAGTGGTTGGCGAATCAGGGAAGGATACGTCATGACTGATAACACCCAATCATGGAGCCGAGTGTCAGCCCCTGCGTCAACGTTTCTGAAGTCCTACGTTTTGTCTCGTCTTCACTAAAACGCCCTCCGGAGATTCAAAACGAAAAACGGAGCAGCAGCGTTTCTAAGCTTCTCCGTTTTAGGTCTTTGTTTTTCCCGTTTTAGTGTGGACGGGAGGTGCAAACGTAGCAAAAGGTCTCAGTTTTTAAACGAAAACGCAGTAGTGTGGACGGGGCCTAAAGTGGAGTGAGGTATTTCCTCATGGTTCTCCAAGGCTTTGTTCACACAATGCAGAAGATATTTAGTACTGACTGTCCACATTACCAAGAGACCTATGAGAGCAGCTAGTGTTGTGGAAACACATGAATTCATGTTTCATTGTATGACCTAGATTGAATCTAATTTCCAGCATTCATTTTCAGTAAATTTTATTTTATCAAGCAGACTGTGCGCTTTCATTGTTTTGTTGAGCTACACTTGTTTTTTGTGTGGGTATTTTGTCTTTGTTTTGGTTTGTTGTAATTATTGTCCTGAAACTCAAATTATAAAAAAAAAACATCCATTTTCCAAACCGCTTGTCCTATGTGGGGTCATTGGGAATGCTGGAGTCGATCCCAGTATCTCGGGATCAAGGCAGGATCTCAAATGACCAAAAAGCTACTTGAAACCATCTACAAATCTGGCTTGAATCTTGCCGTCTATTTTGTTCATATTACAATAATTACACAAGAGTCAAATACATAAAACACTTCGGCTGTCAAGTCCCCTTCACTTGTATAGTGCTTTTAACAATACAGAACATTTCGAAGCATCTTCACAGTGATCTAGGGAATGAATGTGGACACACCTCTCGCTCTCATCGGCAGCTTTCTCCGCCTCCTCCAGCTTCTGCAGCGCAGTGGCGAGTCTCTCCTGGGCTCGGTCTAACTCCTCCTCCACCAGCTGGATACGTCTGTTCAGGGACGCCACCTCCGCCTCCGCCTGCCGGCACAGCAACACACCTCAATGCAACACATGCTGGGCAAATGGGGTACACCATGAACTGTTTGGATGAGGTGATGGTGACGTGAACGTCAAATTAAGTGGAACATTTTTGTGACTCCTCTTTTTGCTTTCAACCACATATCATTTTTGTATTGTCTCACATCCCATTCGATTACATGGAGGGCAGAGTTTATGAGCTATACTGCAGACAGCCACCAGGGGGCGATCAAATGCGTTAGCTTCACTTTTCAGCATGTCCGCGACACACTTGTTCCACATTGACAGTCTCAAAAACACGAAATCGCTGATCGTTTTAAACTGCTGGTGTTTCTGACATCAAAAACTACCAATCATATGAACGTGTGAGCGTCAACGAGTGGATCTCTGAGCTGTGTGAGTGAGTGGAGGCGGGGCTCATTTGCATATCCACAGAACTGTGTATACTAAATGAGGCAAGAGTGTAGAGTTACATTCAAGCCATGAAGAAACTTTTTTAAGGGATACAATTACCGAGGGCAAAGTTCACTAGGTAAAGAGGGTCACTGTGTCAACTGTTTGTCCAATTCTTTAATAGCTAACTACACGCTAACACTGCAATATGCCAAATGTGAAAACATTGATCACATCATTAAATAAGGCATGCACTGAACATGAATAAATGCTTGGTCTGTTTATTATTTTAAAGAAAGCAGAAAAACAACATGCCTGATTTACCACTACTCCAAAAGGGCAAGCCTGATGTCATTGTCATCCTTCTGATCTGATAAATCCTATCCTTACAACAACAGTTGTACTAGCAAAACAACAGTGCTCAGTACAAAGATGGCCTAACTCTTTGTGGGCCCTACCTGCCATCAATAGCTATTTTTATTGCAAAATCCAAAACCCAAAAATAAAACAATTAAGCAACATATCTGCCGCTTTTGTTCTGGCCAACTGGAAAAGCATATGTTCGCAGGTAAATCATGTCTAGCTCAGTCAGATCAGTCACACACTGAAAACTATTGCTATTAAACTCAGGGTCCAAATTTGACGTTACCAACAACATAATTCATGTAACTGTCTGTAATTTATGCACATGTAATTTTATCTTCACTTAATTAAATCTCTACTTTCAGATAACGTATTATTAATTTACCCAAATACACTTTAATAAACAAAGAATAATGATTTATATTTTAGAGCTGGTCAGAGCCAAAAGCACAACCAAAACAAAGCTTTGAAAAGCATTGACTTATGATGCATTTTTGTAATAAAAGTTCATTTTTAACAGAGGAAGAAAAGAGAGATGCAACGTGGCTGCTGTTACTTTATCTCTGTTATATTTACAATATTATCTCATATTTTGTTCTTTATAGTCTACTTATAAACACATTATATTTCTTTAACCAGACTCTCCTGTTTTCTAACTCGTTCATCAAAATGAACGCATCTTTTTCCGTGTCATTTGGTTCATTCAACGAACGAAATGAAAGAGTTGACTCGGGAAAAGTTCGTTCATTTTGATGAACGAGTTCGAATAGGAGAGTCACGATCGTGCATCACAGAACAGAGCAAGGCGACCATTTGAGCTTATAAAACTTAAACTTTGTTATTTATTTTTTTAAATGAGCGATCGTTTCGCTTGATAAGACCCTTATTCATCATCTGGAATCGTTTAAAGCCCTTTGAACAGTTTGCACTGAAACTGTCTTTTGGACATTGAACTGTTTGGTTTCCATTGAAGTCCATTAAATGGAAAAAAATCCTGGAATGTTTTCAACAAAAACATTAATTTCTTAATGAACTGAAGAAAGAATGACATGGATATCTTGGATGACATGGGGGTGAGTAAATTATCAGCAAAAGTTTTTTTTTTTTTAAAAATGAACTACTCCTTTAAGTTAGTCATTGAATCATTCACTCAAGTGTTTGGTTCAAAGCGACTGATTCAAGTGAGCCAGTCGCAGAGTCATTCATTACAACGATTCTTTCATAAACGTTGATTCATCCAGTAACAAAACTGAAATCGTGTCCTGATGTTAGGATCTATTGTTGTTGGCTAAATAGAGCAAAAACAGACCATATAATAGACCATATAATAGCCTATTAACATAATTGTTTGTTAAACTGTTGTATAAAATTAATATCACATGCAAACGCGCTGATATTCTGGCAAACAGCACTCTTGCCTGTGTGATATTTTAAAAACAAGAACTTGCACAGAGACTTTTTTTTCCACCATATTTTGGTCTTTGGGGGCATTTATTAATTTAGACCTTTATTTATTGTATTTATGTATTTATTAATTTTGGCATTTAGACCCCGTTAATTTCAGACCCTGGTAGACTTTACAATGGCACGCATGTCATTTTCACAACTGTTTTACTGAGATTTTGTCCCTTGTTTTCATTCCTGTGACTGTCTATCCTGATGTAAACAACCACCACTTTTCTTACAGGATGACAAGAACACAAGAGGATTATCCTGTTCTGGGTCAGTTGAACGCAAGTGTCCACCTTCAGGGGGTGAAAACTGCATAATCCCTTGTTTTAACTGACCACTTGTTTCAGATATCATCAATAGGTCCACCAGAGAAACTAGAAAGAGCTGAAGTTTGATGTGAGAGAGATGATTTGAGTCTGTGCGTCACCCCTGGCCTCAATATGAACTCTAATCCTCTGTTCATCTGTTCAACCTCGAGCACAAACATCTTTTGCTGATATCGTTTCATTCACTGTTTGGTTTACCTAAATGGATACTGATATCTGGATAATGTGTTTATTAAGTGAAATTAATGTTTTGATTTGGTTTAAGAAAATTGGAGCATACAATGACACTACATTGCAGAACATCGGTTTTACATTTGCCATCTGTATCTAATAAAGATATTGAGGTCATACAACAGGGGTTTTCAATCGTTTAGATGCCACAGACTCCCACATATGACCATCTTCATGTGAGGGACCCTCATCCTAACATGGAAAAGGCATCTTTTACAAACACCAAATTTACACACAGAAAAAATTAAATCTATAATTCTATTAAGCCACTCAACTATAGTATTGTAGTTACTTAATATTTAGTTTTATTTATATTAATCAAAATTGTCATTCATTTATTTGAATCTAGATTATTTAATATATCATTAACTTAATCTTTTTATTACAATCATGTTTTAATCTAATTTATTTCCATATTTATTGTACTCGTATCAATAAATACTATTATTTTTTACAGTTTTTTTTTTTTTTTTTAAATAGATTTTCCCCTGTCAGTCCCTTGTGGCCCGGACCCCAGCGTGAAATCCCCAGGCCTATGAAGGCCCCTTCCTACACACAGCAGTCTGGTGTTGCTCTTGCACGGACACGGTGTGTATGAAGAGCTTCACAGTGTGTGTGTCTCTATCTCACTCACTCTCTCCCTGCCCTGCCGCTCCAGGTCCAGCTCTCTCTGCAGTGTTTCTGCCCTGTCCTCGGCATCATCCGCCTGCTGCTGGAGGCCCTGGATCTTCCTCTTCACGGCCTCTATCGAGGTGACCGAGGCCATGCCCGCGGACAGTGCTCTCAGCGCCGATACACACCGCGACACGGGCAGGACAGCAACGAGACGAGGGCGATAATCACGCGTTCATGTTCGACACGGCTTGGTTTACTTCTTCCTTCAGTGTTTTTATCCAGAAGCGGTGAAGTTTAGCTCAGACCGAAACAAATCGCCGACGAGTGGTGTGTGTTATCCCGAGCCACAGCGGGAGAAACCCCGTAAGCGGATTGACGCCGGTGCAGCGGATGCGCGCGCAGCTCTCAGGTGATTAGCACACCCTCCCTGTCATACCAACTCAAGAAGTGTTTCACCTAACGCACTGATGAAATAGAGTCAAGAGAGAATTTTCAATCCCTTTTTTCAGAATTTGTGGTCGGATATGAATAATTAGCTATGTAATTCCTAAATAAGTCAACGAAACTCACTTTAGAATATTTTTGAATGCCAAATTATTTCGATCCATTCTAAAGTTTCTGTTTTTTTGTGTGTGTGTTTTACAAATTTGTCACTATAACTGACTGATATAGCCTAATGGTTTTGTTTTTGGATTGCGATACCGGTTTATTGGGAATAGATAGGCTATAATTAAAATTCTAATTTTATTTGGTAAATAGCCTATCATATAGGCTACATAAAGCAAAATGTATGTACCAAATGGTAGACTTTTTTCAACCGACTTAAAGTTTTTTTTTACGACTCTGACTTCAATACAGAACAATTGTAAAGCTGTTAAGACATCTTAGCAGTTGAAAAGGATAGGCTACTTGATGTATTAGATGTATTTTAGATGATTTTTTTATACAAGATGCAGAAAAATCTTAATTTTCTATAGATTCAAGTGTTTTGTATGACCCTGTATTCCCCCATATTATTGCAATAAAAAGCCCCTTCCTGTCAGATGCAGGCATTCTCCTCAGCACTCATTACAGGCTTAGCTCTCTCTCTCTCTCACACACACACACACACACACACACACACACACACACACACACACACACACACACACACACACACACACACACACACACACACACACACACACACACACACACACACACACACACACACACACACAAAAGACAAGAAAATTAGCCCATGATTTACTCACCCTCAAGGCATCCTGGGTGTATATGAATTTCTTCTTTCAGCTGAACACAATTGGAGGTATATTAAAAAATATCCTGGCTCTTTTTTTGAAGCCCAAGAACGTTCATCCATTATAAAAAGTCATACACGACTCCAGGGGTTTAATAAAAGCCTTCTGAAGCAAAGCCACGTGATTTTGTGAGACAAATATCCATGTTTATAACTTTATAAACTATAATCACTGGTAATGGCCGTACGTGAGTCTAGTTCCAGCGGAAGAGTGACCTCATTGTGTACAAATATTTGATAAACATGTATAAAAAATCAGGCTTACATACAGTATACCTCTTAAAGATGTTTCTGAATGTCTATTTAACATCTGACAGGAAATATTATTTATGTTCAGATGTTATCCAGACAGCAATATAGTGTCGGCCCAGATCTGGTACACATGGATTCCACACAGCACAGATCTGGGCTGACACTATGTTGCTGTTTGGGTACTTATTGCAGTCCAGACAACAGCCTCGTGTCAGCCCAGATCCGGCGCACATCTGGTAGGCCTACATGGCTTCCACACGGCCCAGATCCGGCTCACATCTGGTAGGCCTACATGGCTTCCACACAGGCAAGATCAGGAACACATCTGTAGGCCTACACATGGCTTCCTTCGGGCCAGATGTGGGCCAGATCTAGGCTGCTGTCTGGGAGATGAGCAAACACTCAAACTCATCTTGCAGAAAAACATGCAGATCAAATACGTGTCTCAGAGATGCGTGCAATCAGGGGACCTGCTCACATTCATCACGGTGTAATAATTCATAAAATGTTTATAAATAGCATATTTTTAAAAAATGAACATCTTAAACCAAAATTAAGCACAACAAATTTTTTGAAGTGAGGAGGCAATTTTTTTAAATAATTCAATCTGAGGAAGGAGGAAGGAGCTCATCGCACCGATGTGATTTGTGCCTTCACAAATGTATTATATTAATATACATAACAGTTTTATTGAGACAGCTGTATGAATCCTTCATTACAAGTAGCCTACCCAAACGTTTTGTGAGCTGAACCCCTGATGTTATTTATTTATTTATTTTACTTTAAGTAGCCTACAATATTTAACGTTAATATTTCAATAATTTAACGACACTTTCACATATTCACGATTGTCTCACTGGTGGTTAATGGTCATATGCAAATTAAAAAAACTTTTAAGTAAGTAATATTTAGTCATCGGCTGGTCAGTGGTCATTCGCAGTGCTTTATGGGAGTGGGCGGAGCTAACGAGATCTTTTGCCAGTTTTGCTTGTTTCAACACTGATTGGTGGTATCATTTTGATCATTCCTATTTACTGATTGTTTGCAACTCTGTATTCCTGGGTCTGTTGTCTGTTTAGATACCAGAGATACAATGACTCAATGTCAAACTTGTGAAATTAGGAAATTTTGTCCAAAGAACAAAAAATTATGTCATAGCGAGGCTTATGAATACATCGATTTGAATCAACTTAGACTACTGTATCTGCATTCTTGGTCACCTGCTGTCTAAATCTTATGTACTCAAACTGTGCATTTGATCTTCATCATTGTGTCAAATCAAATGAATTTAAAGCGAATTACAGCCATAAAGCAGGACGTCTCAGTCAAACTGTCCTCAGACCGATCCATGAACTCTGAACAGAAGCACTGGAAGGCCTGACGTCACTTCACTGTAAACAAATCACTGCATTCCTCTGGTGTCTTTCCTTTTTTGGCCATACAGTACAATACACACAGAGTTGAGAGTTCCCGAAACACACTCAAACACCTCATGTTTTAATGGAAGAACTCAAGGCAAAGATATATTTGATAAAAGTCTCCGGATTAAAAACATATACCGTGATTGCCAAAGTCTTTTAACTCATGAACACGTGACTTGTTTTTCAGATGTAACTAGTTAATAATTGTCATGAGTAGCCTACATGTATTTTACTGCAGCATGCTAATGGGGGTCTGAATTGCAAAAAAATACTAATATTTACAGTAACACTGCAAACCTAATGATATTTATACCTGAACAAAGATATCATGTATCAGATGTGGTGCAGAATAGCAACTATTGCACTGCCGTGGAATACTACTGTATAACTTGAAAGTAACTTTTACTTTGGTCAACATTATGAAGAGAAGGCCTACTGGGTATTGAGATTTAATATGAATTCACCTTCACTCTTTTAGTTTGAGTGTTAAGCTTTGGAAACATGACAGCTGTAACCCTTTACTGCTTCTGTGAGTCTCATTCTGTCATTACTTCATTCACTCAGTTTTTAAGTTTTAACTGGACAAAAACGTTTCCATATGCAAAAAGTGGTGATTGGTGAAGTCTCAGCGCGTACGGCATCTGCTGCGAGGTGCTGACAGTGTTTATGAAGTGTTTGGAGAATATGATCCAGCTCGACACCTTCTCAGGACCAGCTGCTGACAGGATGATTGACAGCTCGAGCTCTGAGCTGCGCATGCGCTGTTCTGACAGCCGCCACACGAGGGCGCGCGCGCTCGAGCCGAACCGTCTATGAGCCACATTACGAGCTCTAATCTAGATGTTATGGTTTTTGAACACCGGCCTATTTTTAAGACAATTGAGATTTTGAAACAGATTTTGAGAACCATTAAGATACATATGTATTATTATCAGCATATATATGTGAAACCCGGACCACAAAAACAGTCATAAAGGTCGTTTTTTAATTGAGTTTTATTTATCATCTGATAGCCTATCATTTTTAGGCTATGGTAGGAAATTTACATAATATCTTCATGGAACATGATCTTTACTTAATATCCTAATGATTTTTGGCGTAAAATAACAATCAATAATTTGACCCATACAATCTATTGTTGGCTATTGCCACAAATATACCAGTGCGACTTGTGTCTGCATGGTTTTGTGGTCCAGGGTCACATAATGGTTCTAAAATACTATTAGGCTTCATAATTTATATTTTTTTCTTTTAATTATGCTATGAAATATGACCTGAATTTGCATTTGTGGGATTCATGCGAAATATTTAGCCTTCTAATGAGGTGTCAGTGGTGTGTATTCTTTTGAAAGGCAGTGTGTAATTACAGCCGGGTTGAATGAGTGACATGTGTGATGTGTGATGATGATCGCGTGTGTGTGTGTCACTCACGTCTGCGGCCTTCTTCTCGGCCTGCTCGAGTTTCTCCTGAGCGTCCTTCAGTGACTCTGAGTATTTGTCCAACTCATCCTCCACACCCTTCAGCTTCTTCTGCAGGGCCAAGAGCTCCTCTTCCAGCTACACACACACACACACACATTAGGTTTTCATGTTTTATGGGGACTCTCCATAGGCTTAATAGTTTTTATACTGCACAAACTGTATATTCTCACCCCTTACACTAACCCGACCGGTAAACATAGTCGTCACACAAAACTTTTTGCATTTTTACATTTTTTAAAAACTCATTTGTTCAAACACAGACAAACAAACACACACATTCACACAAGCACATACCCACAAACACACTCACACAGACACACAAACTCATGCTCAATTAGCCTTTGCAGCCTTTATTAATTCATTGAACTTGAAAAGAGTAATTGTAATGACAATTGATCCCCTAAAACACAGCAAAATTTGCCTAAACTACACTAAAACTACGGTCCCGTTACTGAAAACACAGTAAAACGGGGTGGTCAAGAGAGTTATTCATTAATGAACTTGAGTTTCTCCACATTTTGGAAGATCATTCCCCATCAAGGGTCCCCCGTCTGAACTGATAGATAAAGGATGATCTCTGAATCGCGTCTCCATTGGTGGAGCTGCTCACTCACGCCTCAGACAGAACCATCACCGGATCATTAGTCCGACACCAGCCTCTATTTATTGCTCTCAGCCGCTTCTGCTTATGGAGACTCAGCCCATAATGCTGCAGAAATAGACTCAGCTTTAAAGAGCATTGGACAGCTCATAAACCCAGACAATGCCCTTGTGATGGATGCCGCCTGATGGAGCGGGACAGGCTCGGGAACACAGTTATGAGGCCCTGGGACAGGAATAGAGGGAGGTGTGCCATCGGGACAAAGGCTTTCGGGAAATCACAGTCTTTCTTCAAACAAAAACTTGAGATTCAAAATCAAATGGACATATAAAGCATGTGCTCCA